CTAACGAGACGCTGTATTGGTCGTAAATATCTTTGAATTGACATATTCGTTGAATTCAGCTAATTGTAAGCTGTTGCAGAAATACCTTCCAATGACTTCTAAACTAAACCTTTACTACCGTAACTTTTGACCATTCCAATGATTAAGGCTCGTCTCCGGGGTCAGTTCTGCTCAAAGAATCGATTTTTTGGGTCAAAAGTTCACTACAATTATTTCTCGCAAAAATTTACCTTGGGCGAGAAAAAAACTGCAAAATTGACATTTTTTACGTAATATATAACTAAATCGATATTGTATTTCGAAATATCGATTATTTTCTTGCAGAAATCGATTTCTCGACTGAAACTACACAAGAATAACTTGCCTTGCAAAAGTTTTGACCTTACTAGGGACGTGGAAAGCGATTTTACTTCGATAAAACTCGAAAAATCGGAATATTCAGCCCTCAAAACTTCAACCCCCGTGTTGATGATGAAGATGAAGGAGTTGTTACCTGCATTTTCCTCTTTCCATTGGTGCCTACTAACAACTTTTTATTCCCACAAGTTTTCAGATTTCCAACAAATAATTTTTTTTGGCCCATCCTACTGTTGATGTCAACAGATTCCTGTATTTTCAAAGTGTGTCACCGATGAAAATGAACATAGGTACAGGGACGGAACCAAGCACTTCGAGTAAAAAAAAGAGAGAGAGCAGGACGAAGTCTGGTTTCTGGCTCGAAGAATATAGAGTTTTTTCTTCTTCTTCGTAACACCTCCGCCTCTTGAGATACTGTTTAAGAGAACCTAGGGGACAACGCCACGTTTGAGATTTTTGCTTCCTGCCGCGTCGCGTGTTTTAACACGGATTATATTTAGTCTCAAGATGAAAAAACCCTGCCGCAAGCGGCAGGGTTTTTCCGTGGGGTTGCCGGCAAGTAGGGGACGGTTCTTTTTGTAGTCCGCGCATTTACCGCGGCATGAGTGTATTTTCCGAAGGGTAGTGTCACATTGGGGAGTGAAATCATTTACCCTACCCCTCTTGCCACAGATATGTTTCAAGAAACAGTTCCCCTTGGCTGCGCAACTCCTACCCCCTCCCCCTCACCCGTAAAAACGGTAAATTGCCACTTTTATGGAACGCGTTGGCCGATTTCGCTGAAATTCAATAGGAAACCAGTCTTAGTAGATATCTAACTACCATCAAAATTTCAGCTCAAAACATTCATTTTTACTCGAGTTATCGTGTGGACAAAATTAAACCTCCCCCCACTTTGACCCCTCGCTGTGCGAAAAGTATTTAACGTATTCCGATTTTTTCTTCACAGTTTAAAAGTACTCTTAGGGGACTATAAACCCCGGAGGTTTCGTTTCAAGAGACTTAAAAATTAACTGCCGCCCAACCCTCTGAAAACTGAAAAATCCTCAAGCTGGCTGAAATACATACATACATACATACATACACACACACACACACCCTCACACACACACATATATATATATAAAAGTCTAATTTCATGGTTATTTTATGAATAATAAAGCGAGCTTCATGAGTTGTATAACCGTAACTTTTTATTTATTTTAAACAAAAAATTTTTTACAATGCGACGTTTCGGTGGCTTATTATTCCCACCATCATCAGGCAGAGACTTGGCAGAGTCTCTGCCTGATGATGGTGGGAATAATAAGCCACCGAAACGTCGCATTGTAAAAAATTTTTTGTTTAAAATAAATAAAAAGTTACGGTTATACAACTCATGAAGTTCGCTTTATATATATATATATATATATATATATAAAGCGAACTTCATGCGTACCCCTAAAGATGATACAACCGTGCCCAAATTTTGCACTACTCTACTTTCAGATGTTCTACTGGGAGCAAACTTTCCAAACACACTAAGAGTGTTAGAATTTTTCGAAAGTGGAAATACTACTAATCACAATTTTTGTCGAAAGAGTGGGGGGGCGCACTCTCCAAAAATTGGCGGGTCGACCCGACATTTTTCTCAGCTCTATCTTGTCCCTTATCATGGACAATTTCCATAAGAAATCATAATCCAAGGCAAATTTTTTTTTTCTGAATTGCTGTATTGGGCCCTCTGAGACGCAGCCATAGGATTGAATAGGAAACTCGCGATAATCCAGGGGACCTTGACCCGTCATCAGCCCTTATGGCTCGGATGGATGGCGCACCGATACCTGGACAGCATCAACATTCAACACCAGCGAGCGGGAAACAGTACATACCTATTAACGTTGCTGGCGGCTCATTACTGCGCGCGACTTGGGCTAAATTCTAAACGCCTCGCTCCTCGTGCCCATAATAATCAACTGAGAGAACCAGCATGAATGTCACTCGCGTGTGCAAGTGATGCAATGCAGTGCGTCCGTAACTGCAGTTATAAAGGAGCATCGCAGCATGGCGTGAAGTCTCTGCCTCGTTGACGCTGTTACTAGCTGAGATTTTTCTTACCTTCATCTTTCCGGTGATTCTCGCTTTTAGTAGGCACAGAAACCTTGGATAGAAATTTAGCAAATAAGTAGAACGCTATAACCAGTCGATACTTTCTTTACCCTCATCTTGTTGGAAATTTTCGCTTTTAGGAGAGGAACCCGTAGATTGAAATTTAGCAAATAGGAGAAGAAATCGTCAGCCGCGATTCTATTGCTTTTGTCGCCTTATCGCCTTATCTATACTATAAGCTCCAAGACCTCCTAATTTTGCGAAACTGGTAACGCTTAGTTCCAGCGTTCTACCGGGCCGATTTTCATGATTTTTGCGGTTATCGACGGGCAATTGTCTCTAGATAAGCCAACTCTTTTCAAATTTCCAAATTATGGCCCAGGTTTTTTTATGTTACGTAGTAAAGTTGCGAATTCTCCCATTTAAACAATGTAAATTTATACTTTTTGTCATAGTTCGTTTGAGCGTTCTACCGGGCCGATTTCCATGATTTTTGCGTAAATCGACAGGTAATAGGCCCTAGATGAGCCCGCTCTTATCAGATTTGGGAAAAAGGACCCAGGTTTTTTTAAAATCACGTTATAAAAGTGAGTGAGTTTATAGAATGCTCCGGTACTGCTACCGCTATGCGCGGGAGGATGCGCAGTGGTCGAGGAGGTTGCGCAGTAGCTGTGTAGCCTGCGCATCAGCTCTACACTTATCTACACAAGATTCGCACCAAAACCCCCACATACAGGGTGAGCGAAAAGTCCCCGACCCCCCCTCCAACTTTTGAACGAATTGAGCTAAGGAAATGAAACTTTGGGAATGTTCCTATCTCAAAGGGGACCATCCTTTGAGGGGGTCAAAATTTTGGTCCCCCCCTCAGGGGGGGACAGGGGCCCCCCAACTTTTTTTTTTCAAATGGCAACCCCTATCTTGTGATAACTCATTCGAAAGAGCATAAAAAACTAAGAATTTTGGCGCAAACCGCAGATCAATATCTCAATTTTTGACCGAGTTATGATAGGTCAAAGGTCAAATTTGACCTATTTTCAAAAAATCATAACTCCGGTTCAAATTATCGTAAAGAAAAAAATAAAACGGGAAAATTTACCAAATTGTGTTCGCTTTTACGTAAAAATTGCAGAAATCACTTCGATTTAATTTTAAGGGGGGGCTCGGACCCCCAAATAGGTCAATTCAAAGGTCATTCAATTTTCCTGCGAAATAAGCCAATTTCCTCTTGATTTGCCTCCACATTATCTCAGTAAGGTCAAAATCAGTTCAACATTACGTTGGCAAGTCCCCAAATTTCGGGAAAAGTTAAAAAAACGAAATTTAAGGTGATTAAATTTGACCGTTTAAATTTCGTTTTTTTTAAACTTTTCCCGAAATTTGGGGACTTGCCAACGTAATGTTGAACTGATTTTGACCTTACTGAGATAATGTGGAGGCAAATCAAGAGGAAATTGGCTTATTTCGCAGGAAAATTGAATGACCTTTGAATTGACCTATTTGGGGGTCCGAGCCCCCCCTTAAAATTAAATCGAAGTGATTTCTGCAATTTTTACGTAAAAGCGAACACAATTTGGTAAATTTTCCCGTTTTATTTTTTTCTTTACGATAATTTGAACCGGAGTTATGATTTTTTGAAAATAGGTCAAATTTGACCTTTGACCTATCATAACTCGGTCAAAAATTGAGATATTGATCTGCGGTTTGCGCCAAAATTCTTAGTTTTTTATGCTCTTTCGAATGAGTTATCACAAGATAGGGGTTGCCATTTGAAAAAAAAAAGTTGGGGGGCCCCTGTCCCCCCCTGAGGGGGGGACCAAAATTTTGACCCCCTCAAAAGATGGTCTCCTTTGAGATAGGAACATTCCCACAGTTTCATTTCCTTAGCTCAATTCGTTCAAAAGTTAGAGGGGGGGTCGGGGACTTATCGCTCACCCTGTAGAGCGGTGACCGAGTCGTCTAAGACGTCGAATGCGTCCACTTTGAATTCGGTGTAGGTTCGATCCCCGACTCATGAAACTTTAATTATTACCTGACTATCATTGTTCATTGTTTTACTGCAATATTTCATCAATCAGTCATTCCAAAACGCGTCCTTTTAATTTTAAAGTAATTTTAAGTAAAGTTTAAAATTAAAGTATACCTCATATCGTAATTTTTTAGGGGAAAAATAAAACTAACACTGATAGGAGGGTAAAAAAAAGGGCCGTAGTTATCCTCTAAGGCTCCAGGTGTCTGATTCAATCAGACGTTGACTATGTAGTGTTCGCACTCACTTTATTATGGGATTTAACCGAAAATTTCAGCATCGCATAAACATGTTCTTACTTCAACATGCACTTGTAGTGGCAATGACAATTTTTGTTACGTATAATGACATATCCAATGAGTGCATCGCGACAGGAATAAAATGGAAGTTTTTTGCACCTTCAAGATTTCGTCTTGACCATAATGCGTGTCCCGTTTCTACCCATGCACCTAACGCATTTCAATCGAAGATTGGCAACATTTTTAACATTTTCATAGCTTACCAAAAGAAAACTCAAAACGTGAATGGATGCCTCGGACGTTATAAGAAATAAGTCAAAATATTTATTTCTGAAAAGTAACAAAATATAATATGTATTAATAAAACATGTTACAGTTTGCGTGCCATTGTTAAACATAGGGTAACCTAACATATATTGAAGGAAAATTTGTCATGAAATAAAATAATTTCGGACAAGGAATGTCTAATGGAGCAGATTTCTTGATGGAAACCCCAGAAAAATATCCTTAATGGAGGCATAGCAAAACTTTGTTTTTGTAAATGAAAAGAGAGAGCTCATCACTGCCATTGTGCAATGTACCAATAGGTCATAGTCACGTGGCACTGTAGCTGTGCAGCACTAAATTGAATTAAAATATTAACAAGGAACTAAATTAACTCCAAATTGTGCTGACACCCCCCCCGCCCACCCGTAAGGCTTCTCAGACAAAGTTGTGCCCCCGCTCCTCTTCTTCTAGAGAAGTCGCCGTCGAGGGAACGGGCACATTATTTTTTCAGCAATTGATCAATATCTTTAATGGTAGCTAAAATTGAAAGTTCTGGAGCATTCTGTGACCCTAAAAGTAACCAAAAGCACGAGACCAAAAGCACCATAAATTTCTTACACAACCGGGCCATCGAAACACAAGGTTATGATAGTGTCTTAACATGTTATTGCGCCGCTATCGTATTATCTTATTGTATGTGCCGCTTCAGTGATGCCATTCACCATGAAGTGGCATCAGGGACCGTGAAGAAGTAACTTAACTTCAAGCTCTTAGCCGTCAGGGGCACTCATCCCAGTCTCAGTAGTCTTGGTAAGATAAATAGTTTGTTGAACTGGGCATCTAATATAGACGTGTGACTTGGACCAACACCATCTAAATATACCTTTCAGCGAGGAATGAGGTCAGGTCTTCGCGGTAAAACTAAAATATATGGCATCTAATGGAAACTGTTGAAACGAGGTTGTTTGAAAGAAAAATTAAGTGCGAAAATTTCAACCTAAGTTTAATTGAAGACCCATACTTTAAAATTTAAGACTCATAAGCATTATGATCGGAAGATCGATAGACTCGGAAGCTTAATTTTTCTCAAATTTGCCTCAAAACTCGCATTCTAGACAGTCACTCACTAACAAAAATGTTATCTCAACACGGACCGAGTATTTTCAGAAAATTACTCAAAGTTTACGTTGGTCTGGGCGTAAGGAGGAAAGCCGTTAATTTTACCACACGAAAAATTAACCTTTTAGCTTTCTTTTTGGCGATGAAAGGTAGGTGCTGTTTGATGGTGTTACCCGAAGCCACAAGCCGGTCATTAAGGTGGCGCTGATGCTTTCACGTTAAGCCACCAGCTCCAGCTTGCTGCTCCTCTTTTGCCTCCTGTTGTCCTAATGGAGGCTGCTTGGCCGAACGGTGGTTTTGGCTCACGAATGGAAAGCCTTGTTTCTGGTGAATCGAGTGATCATATCGAGGGCCCAAATCGGCTGGTCACCAGGTACCATGTGACCGGCATCGCGAACGAGAATCTCTGTAAGATTGCCGGCGCTCTTGCAGTAGCCGGCGATGTGGGGACCGACATGCCAAATGTGCCGCGGCGCTTTCTTGTACTCGCTCGCAGCGTCGAACTGGAGCGCCTGCAGGAAACCCACGGTCAACGGGTAGGCCACGATAATGTCCAACTGCCCATTGTAGATGAGCACCCGGTATTGGCCCAGAAGCTCCTCGACCCATGGCCGCACCGATTTCATGAGGTCATCCTTGAGCATGGTCTCTACTTTCTGGTCGGTATGGAAAGTGGCGTTTCCCACGTGGAGAGCCTCCCTAGCTGCGTCGGACTGGACGAACGCCGAAAAGTCGGCCTCATGGGGGGGCTTCTCGTGCAAGTAGTTGAAGTAGAATGTAAAGCCGGAAGCGTTCAAGAACATTGAGTTGGAGTCAAAGTCTCCATTGATGATCTTGTCGAATACCGCAGAAGCATCGCCCCACTTCCCTTCCCGAATGAACTTGATCCCTAGATCCTGAGCCGCTCGGAAATCGGCCAAAGTCTTCTCGTCTAGAAGCCCTAGAAACAAAATCAAAGCCAAAGATTACAGGTTGCTCAACGGGTTAGCGTTAATGCGTTCAACTGAGATTCCTGTGCATGTTGTTCATTTCAAATCCAGTGAGCATGTGGTTTATATTTTCAAACACTTGTAACAATCCAATATATGACGCATCCGTCGATATGGTAGTCTTTATTTGGACGATTGGAATGTTATGGATATCTGATCGTTGATGAAGACATGAAGCACTTTAAAAAATGTGCTGGTTTTATGTTTAAATGTTTTTTGATCAGTCCTCTATGCAGCCGAAGATTGGCTGCTGGAAATTTTTTGAAAGTAAATGTCCGCATGTGAGACTTACAGAACCGCATGAAATGAGTGTAATATTAATTGAGCATGACTCCGTTACGAAATTTTCAGCCTCTGCGAACTTAGAGCCAGTGTTAACTCAGCCAACAGCGTTGAGCCAGTTAAACTTTTCTGTATTTAAATTTTTCATACGTGTACCCATAATCTTCGGAATCCATGCCTCGAGAATCTTTCCCAAAAAGTCTGCATTTCTCATAAATATACGCTCTTTCACTAGAAGTCCCTTGAAGTGTTTCCGATTACTCTCAAATTTCTTTCACCGAGGCCGATGTCAACTAAAGTCTGTCCTCAAATCGCGTGATTGGATCATCTTTTTCCTATTTTTCAGTAGATTTTTTTTCAAATCTCAATGTTTACTGCAGATATCACCATCATCTGAAATGACAAGCCTCGGAACGACTGAACCGGCTCAAAATAGAGGACACAACTGTCAATCGTCTCGTCAATATTCAATCCGAGTGGAAACGAAAGCGCGCTTTTAACCTACTTTGATTTTAAGTGTGTTTCGCAACTTACCCAGTTGGTTGAGGTAGTCACCATAGTGACCGAGCATGTGCTCCGGGTCGCAGAGTCCATTTCCGATAGCCAGGCCCTTGAGGTTGATCTTGAGCGGGGCAGTCGGGTTCCGCTTGTGGATAGTATAGGCAATGGCCGGCACATACTTTCCCGCGTATGACTCCCCTGTTACATAGAAGTCCTGCTTCTGCAACTCGGGAAATAACTGGAAGAACTGAATTAGAGCCGAGTAGAGATCTTGCCCAACCTGAAGCAACAACATTTAACTCAGTTTAATTATCAGCAGGGATGAGAAACGGAACTAGAGAACCCATAGAAGCACCTTTTGTGTTTGTAACCAGGCGGAGACGGAGTTTTCATTTCTCCAGGAATTGGAATTGAAAGTGGAACCGGTTCTAATGCGGTTCTAGAAAATACATACAGCCGACTCACTTGAGGTGAATGATAGTGTCTGATTTTCTCATTTTTCGAGTTAATCAAAAGCTTAGACTTCTTGTTAACGAAAAGTAATTGAAGGAAGCAGAAGAAGGAGTCAGAAGAGGCTGTTTCATTACCCAGAGGCAGTATGGCCGCACAAGATGCAATATCCATTCTTTCAGGAATTATGAAGGATAATCGGACCGGTCTAAATCCGATGACCTTCCCCGTCTTGCCCTAGGGGGTCAAAGTTTAAACGTACCGATCTCACCGTTTGAACAGAGCAACCGATCAACTTGATCTTTGGCTTAAATTAAAATTCTTCCCAAGGGCTCTCATCATGTATGCTTTTGAGTCGGTTTAAGATAATTGTCCAATACATACATAGGCTGTCCACAAAGTAATGCAATAATCGACTTTTAGAGCGAACGAAAATAGCTTAAACAAATTGGTGTACATATTCCTGTAGACTGACAAGGGGACTCTACGAAGTGACATCCTGGGATTGGGTTCATTTTGCTTGTACATGAAGAAGAGACAAATCTAAGGTTGACGTATTTTTTTTTAGCCGCCACCTCCCAACCGTTCTCGAGATATCGATTTTTAAAGTTACGATTTTTGCACGTTTCCGCGCGGAGTTCCGGCGAGTCAACTGAGCGCCGGCAAGCTGCACGAAGCGCGTTCCGTATCAGCGCTGCAGACCGGCCATTTTTATCAATAGTTCCGTGGCCGATTGGTAGAGTGTTCGCCTACCGTTCCATAGATCGCGGGTTCGAATCCCGCTTTGAGCCGTAGCTTATAGGGTACGCCGCGATGCGTTTTTACAAGTTTTCTTTATTTTTATCACACACCAAGGGGTCCGCCCCCTGGCCGCTACGCGGCCCAACCCCCGGGGCGAAAAGGCGCGCTTCGCGGCAAGCGAAATCATCGAAATCGACCGTTAACCTCATGTTCTACTCTAAAACTGAAAGTGCTTATTCCTCCTCTAGCACGTACACCTAAGTAAATGAAAGTCGTGCCTATGAAGTGAATGATTGTATTTGAATTAATCGTCATATTTATCGCAAATAAGTTAGTAATTAACGAAATTAACGACCCATCGCATGATACCAAAACTTTGGTGCCGTTGGGTGAGCGAGACTTGGCTCTGGAGCCTTTGGCCCTATTTATGCGGGGTGCGAGATTGGAATTAGTCTCATGGCATGAAACTAGAGTCTTAGCCTCTCTGCGATTGGGAGGGCTATCTTCGGTGCTGCGACGTTCTTTCTCCAGGAAGCTAAGGAGTTCCCATCGCAGGACTGTATGAGCCCCGTCCCGTGGAGACGGTAACTGGGAAAAATCCCAGAAGTTTCATTCCTGCGATTCGAACTTGGGACAAATCCCACGAAAACGCCCCGTGGAGACAAGGCCTAAGGCGCTGAGCGCTCTCTAAGGGTAATTGATTAGCCCGCAAAGAGGCCATGCAGGGGGCATAGTTCCCTAGTTTTTAGTATGTTATGTATATAACCCGGGAGTTTTAAAGCACCAAAAACCGAAACGTTGGCCATTATTTTGATGCTCACCTGCTCTTGGTTGGTGACGTAGCCGCGGTCATCATCTGTAAAGCTGAAGCCAGTCCCGACAGGGTTGTCAATGTAGAGCATGGAGAGCTTCCTTGTCCAGGAGTAGTGACGGAGTCTCGCCTGACCCTTCTTGTCGATGTAGTACGGACCGTGCTCCTCGAAAAGACCGAAGAGGGAAGTGGCACCCGGTCCGCCCTGAAGCCACAGAGCAAGCGGTGTCGTGCCGTTGGCCTTCTCTGCCGGAAAGTACCAAAAGAAGAGATTCGAGTTGTACGTCTCGTTGACTGTGAGGAAGCCGGCGTAGCTGACTACATTACCAGCGAACGGCGGGACGCGCGCCGCCTCCTGGCCCTCTGAGATCCGACCCTCGGCGATGAATGGAGACAAAAGCAGCGGTCCGCCCACGTCCGAGTACGGCAACGCAGCCACTCTGCAGAGCTTACGATAGTGGTTCACCGATCCAGACGCACTCCAAAACGGCGCTATTAGTAGCGCTACCAACAATCCACTCGGCTTCATCCTGACAGGGTTATTCTGCCCACGCCGTCCGGTCTTCCTGCCTTCTGCCAATGGGCCTTTGAAATTTAAATATTTTATTTTAATACAAGCAAAGTTAAGAGCTCACGGGATTTCAGAGAATTATTCATTTATCACAGCTATCGAAATTTCCTCAAGTTAATAAGGGCCTATCTTAAAATGAGAGACGTTCATGGGGAAGGGCGGAATTTGCCCCCTCCGTTACGGTTGAGTTTCGGAGAGGAAAAATTAAATCCAAGGCTATGTCACGTAATGCTTGATGCTGTCCTTTTTTATCTGTTTCAAGAAGGATTACTACTCAGTTCATTTCCCATTTTATTGTATCTTAATACCTAATTTTAGTTTTTTTTTTTTTTTTAAAAAAAAATATTCTCTTTCGTTTCATCATTATTTTCGCCTCTTGTATCACCTATCTAACCTCCTTTTCTTCCTCAATTTTTGCCTGATTTAATTTTTTTCACGGATGCAAAAATCGAAGGACAAATCTGAAGTTCATCGCTGATTTTTTTTACTTAAAGGCGATGCGAGTGTGGTACAGAGGGAAAGCGTATCTCCCTTGTTCATACTTCTTTCCTCTGAAAATAATTAATTGTATTTTATTTTATTTTATTTTTTACTCTTTACCTATTTTTTATTTTTAAATTCCGATCGCTCTGAGACTTACCAAGAAATGCCTCAATTCCGTTTAAATTGTAGGTAGTTTATTTCTTCATAGACAGTGCCAATTATAATATGGGTATGTATATTTTCTAAGTTGATCAAAAGCACCCACATCTTTCTGCATCAAACTTACTGTTGAGAACAATGGGAGTAATATCAAGTTACTTGTCTCGTGAGAATTCAGGACTGTGAAGAGTGTAAATGTCTAGGAGTTTGATTAGCTAAGGACGGAAAGGATCGGGCCATCAAAGTTCGGAATGTGCAAGGCAGGGTGCTATGGCGGTGCAAAATGGGGTTCTCTGGGACCAGAGTATCTCTAAGAAGAATAGAAGAAAAATTTACAAAGTTATCGTGAGGAGTATCCTAACTTACGGGAGTGAGGTCTGTTAATTGAAGAAAAGAAGTGAAGACATACTTAAGGCAACTGAGATGGACTTTTGGCGGAGATCTGCTGGACTCTCGAGAAGAAAGCGTGACCGTAATGATAAGGTGCGCGAGATAATGGATGTGGAGGAGGGCATTCTCGCACGATATCAGGTCCAAGCAGTGACATGTGAGAAGGATGGCAGACGATCGGTCGCCCAAGCAGGTTTTCGATTGGGTTCCTCCCGGAAGGCGACGGCGTGGACGATCTTTGAAAGGTTGGCGACAAGAAGTGGAGGAGGAGATCAGGAGGAGGGGCCAATAGCCTGGTTACCTCTGGGAAGGTATGGGGCAATGGCGATTGGGCGTCGCAGAGCGCAAGGTTGCGCTGTGAAAACGACTTACTGTATGTTCTTGTTTCGTGAATCAGGGGTTTACACTTTGTTTTGAGGTGCATGATTCAAAAGTAAGGCTCTGGGCTAGTTTTACACCTCATCTTATTTAATTAAGAGACTCCATCAAGTTTTCAGAAGGACATTGGCCTTACATGTATTCAAAGGAAGCTTGTTAACCCTCAAAATATCTGTTATTGCGATGTTGGGCTCTAATCCGGTATACGTAAAGGTTGATTAGGGAGTAAGGAGCCAAGTTTAGCAAGATAACTTAAACTACATTGAAAACACACTAAGACGATAAAATGAAAAATGATTCTATCACTTAGGTACCCTCTGGAATGCTTAACTTAAGCAGCATTGCAATCGTATCTTTTGAAACACATCTGAACTTTTTCCTCTTTTTTTCGTGGCTAACCCAACCAGTCAAGGCGGCAAACACCTACCCCCCCCCCCCCCCCCNTTTGTTTTTTAATTTAATGAAGGCGCTCTTGGCTACGTACCTTGGGCACTGTGCTCCAACTGCTTCAAGAAGCTCTCTGTTGCGGCCCCAAGCTCAGGTTGTCACACTTCTGGAGTGGAACTCACGATGTTCGTTGACGTAACGTACCCAGGATGCGGCTCCGCTACGCGGCGTGGCGAGGAGCGACTCAACTGTCGGCGGTTCAAGCCAGGGCCTTTCGGCTACTGATGTGTGATGCGGTCACCTTATTAACTTGTCTAGGCTCAAAGGTCCCGGCTAAAATGCACACGGGGCACAAAGAATAAGGCAAAGCAGCCAGTTTAATCTTATCAACTCTGACCGCGCAGCTAGCCGCCTCGCTATATTTGTCAGTCCTCTGACGTAAGGGTGTATTTCAATTTTCATGTGAGCCCGGCTGTCCATGCAACGCCACGCCATCCAGGGCTCAAGTGGAGATGGGGGTATGCTTTTACGATAGAGGAGGGATGAATTATCTCCCCGACGCCTTCTCATTAGTGAAGCGCCGCGATGCCACCTTTAGCGTCAACTTAATTGATCATCTGCAATTTCCCAGTGTCTTCATCAAGGTGGTTCTTCAGCTTTCTGGAGAACGATTCGATGGTCGATCGATTAGTTGATAAATCCTGGGTTCTAAGACATACCTCAAGAATTTTCGAGCATCACGTCAGGCTGTTGTACGTTAGTGCACAAGAAACTAAGAAATATTTTCAAACGACTTCACAATTAGGTCCCAAGTAGTGAATATTGCGAATCAAAAGGCAGAACGATACCTATGTGTATTCAGTCGGAACTAAATATTGTAGTCATTTCAAAGTGTTTTTCGGCCGAGGCGCATCCATACACTTTGAACGGGGTCTTGGGGCCTTCGGCTAAATTTGAAAGCATCTAACATGCAGTTTGAGCCGATTTCCTCATGAATATTTTCCTCCATTCCTTCCTCTTTTCTTTCATCCTTTTTTTGTCCTCTTTTCCAAGCGAATGGGGGAGGGGGAAACGTACGCCCCCTACGCCTCCCCCCTGGATCCGTCTTTGTTTCTCGGTTAGATTTAGTTAGCAAATGTCTGACGTAATACAGCGTAATGTGATGCTCGGAATTTTTGAAACCATGTCCTTAAAACCAAAAATCGATCCCTTAAATCAACTCTAAAGTGCCACAAAACCACCTTGAGAGTTTTTTTCTTGTATGTGTGATAGAAAGGATAATACGTCAACGCGTATAGTATAATACGCTCTTTAATGTATGAGACTTTTGTTTTTCGAACTTACTTCGAGATAAGGATACTACAAATAAAACAAGCGGAAAGCTCTAGTACGTTGGTATTCTAGAAGCGGTCATCGCGATTCTGAAGAGTTTAAGCTTGAATTAACTGCATATTACCTATGTATGTTTTTTGTAATAATACATTTAAGTAGTTTTATTTAAATGTGTTTCCTTTTTGGGAGGCTTATTTAGAGACTACAAAGAAATTTTTTGGGGTAGACCAACTTGAATTTCGCAAAACTGATGAAAAAGGTACAACCTACCACCTCCCCCCACCCCTCTCCCAATTTTGAGTTTTGTCAGAGCTGTGTCGCAGTCTTCCATTGCCCTGGTTTGACTTTAATTATTTTAGCGGCTATCGATAAATGATAATCTCGAGATGAGCTCGCTCTATGCAGTTTTTAGAAACATAATTCAGATTTGGTTATGTTACGTGATAAGTTGTGCATTTTCCTATGTAAACGAGGTAAATGTTCTTTTTTTGTCACAGTTCATTCGGAAGATCTACCGAGGCAATTTTCATGATTTTTGCGGAAGTCGATAGGACCTAGGCCCTAGATGAGCTGGTTCCATTTAGATTAGCTTAAGGGGGCCCACGAAGCGAGCTTTAGCGGGCGCGAGGGTGCCAAGTTCCCTCTTAAAGTCGGGCTTCGTAGTAGTACCTATGCTAACAGCCCCTTGTCTTATGTACGCCATACATATTGAATTTACACTATAAGCTCCGAGTCCTCCTTTTGCATATCTGGTAACACTTTGCTCCAGCGTTCTACTGGGCCGATTTTCATCATTTTTGCGATTATCAACAGGCAATTCGAATTTAATTTATTTTCGTTTTAGTACAGAAGTATGCAAAGCTTATTGACAAATAGGTAACAAAAAAAACCACTCACTAATGACACTTGGCCGTTGTGTCGGGTGGAGCCTCTTTGTTTGATTTTATTTTATTTTGTTTCATTTTCGCCCTTTTTTTGTTCCTTTTTAATTTTTACCCTCTTCCCCATCGCATATCTCTCACGGAAAAAATGAAATTCCTGATATAACAATTTTGTAGTCAAAACAAGTGTCCGACATGTTTCAATGTAGATTTTACAGTTAAAAAAATGCCAATTTAACTACCCTTATGGTTAAATTAGCTTTCCACTATTGTAAAACGGACATTTGAAACATATCGGACATATTTTTTTAATAATTTAATTGTTAGATCAGCAAATAATTTTTTCCGCGCTTCCTTACTGTTCATTTTCTAAATATTTTTCATTGACTCTATGGGCTTTCAAGTGGCAGGCTATTTTTGAGGATGGCGCCGCACCTATAATAATTACATCCTTTGATTGTTTCGGTAACTCATTATATTCCTTCATTCCTGAGTTACAGATGTTTTTATAATTCGATTCTAATTATCTCTAAATGAGCTCGCTCTATTCAGATTTTGACAATATGACCCAGGCATTTTTATATTACGTGGTGAAGTTGCGAATTATCCACATTTAATTAATGTAAATTATTATTTTTTGTCATAGTTCGTTTGAGCTTTCTACTGGGCGAATATCCATGATATTTGCGATGATCGTCAGGTGAGAGGCCCTATATAAGCCCGCTCTAATCTGATTTTGGAAATAGGACCCAGGTTTTTTTACAATCGCGTTATAAAAGTGAGCGAATTTACAGAATGCTCCGCAACTGCTGCCACTATGCGCAGAATATAGGTAGAATAGAAGGCTGCGCAGTGGCCGAGTAGCCTGCGCATTAGCTCTACTCTATGAACACAAGATTTCCCCCATTTCACTCAGTGAGGGCGGTGGCCGAGTCGTCTAGGGCATCAGATGCACACAGTTGTTAGATTCGAACCTCGGCACTCACTCTTATTTATTACTAGGGGACCATGCCCCCTGGCCGCTACGCGGCCCAACCCCCCAGAGGGCGCTTCGCTCTCTCGTAGGCCCGCGTCGACAAAAGAACGACCAAAAAAATGAAAAGATTTTCATCCACGTTTCTCATTTATCCAATCTCTCTCTGGCCGGGAACGATTGGACCAATAAGAATCGAAGGAAAAAATCGGCATTAATTTCCATAAACTTCACGCCAAGACTGAAACGAAACGGAACGGAACCGAGAGTTTCGTCGCTTTGAGATAGTCTGTAGCAAAGGAGCATACTTTCGATTCACTTATCCTCCTGACAGACCAAGATTCAACATTTCTCGCTTACTTCAAATTTTGCCCCCTTTCTAATCTCTCTGGTCTCCTCTAATATATAATAACCTGGGTCGTATTTTGAAAATCTGAACAAAGCGGGCTCATCTAGAGACAGTTGCCCGTCGATAGCCGCAACAATTATAAAAATCGGCCCGGTAGAACGCTGGAATTAAGCGTTACCAGTTACGCAAAATTAGGAGGCCTCGGAGCTTATAATATAGATGACGTGAAAATCATCTGTAGTTTTTTTACTGCAATTATTTATAATCCATCATTGCGAAACGCATTCTTTTGAATTTAAATTTTTCCTTCTTTTTTATCAAAAACAAAAATCATTTCGTTCTACAAAGTAAAATATAACTCTTATCGTAATTGTTTATGGGGGAAATAAAATCAACATTGATAAAAAGCTATCAGAGGAAGACGCAACGATAAAAATCGAAAACGGAAGACAATTTTAAAAAAGAAAATGATTAATGAATAAATAATAATAAAAAAACGAAAATAAAGAAAAAATTAGACAGCATCGATAGTCTGCTGGGCTCTTACTACCTCCTTCATGAAAGTTTTGCCGAGATTTGTTGGTAACGTTGCATGGTGTCAACGATTATTGTTAGAGAACACCTAGAAAAGTGGGATAGGAAAGAGAAGAAGAAAAGAAGTCATCCCGAGGATAGTCTCGCAGGCAGCCACCTAAAAGGCAGGCAACAAGAATAATTTAGGAAGAGAAAGAAAAAGGCAGGTGGATAGGAAAGAGGAGAAGAAAAGAAGTCATCCCGAGGATAGTCTCGCAGGCAGCCACCTAAAAGGCAGGGCAACAAGAATAACTTAGGAAGAGAAAGATGAAGAAATGTAGAGTGAGAAAGAGTTGTTGATTGACGAAGGGGTTGAAAGAATGTGACGAAGAGAGAAAGAGAGAAAAAGGAGGGGGCGTCAGATTGAGAATCGCCCTTGAAGGAAGAGTTCGTGGCGCCGTAAAGCTTAGCGCCGAAGAAGAGAAGCAGAGTACTGTAAGACGTGGCAACCCTGTTGAAGTAGTCTTAGCACCGTAAGAACGTAGCGCCGAAGAAGGGTACCGAAAGCTGTGGCAACCCTTGTTGAAGAAGTCTTAGCGCCGTAAGAACATAGCGCCGATTGGAAGAAAGGAGCGCCGAAATGCTTAGCAGCCCCGAATACTTACAATACTTACTTGTAGTCGGAGGAAGAACTTGAGACAATGATCTCAGGAGTCTGGAGAAAGAAGAGACTTGATACAGTGAACGCAAGTGATGAGTGAAAGAAGTGGGCAGAGCCCAGGTGAAACGGGTGCGGGCCCCATTGACGGGGCGGCCGCGCACGGAGCGCTGCCAAAAGGCTCCATTTGAGCCTTTCAGCTGGAAATCCCGGTAAGACGAGTTAGACGTCCATGGGTCATGTGCCCATCACGCCAAAAGGCAAAAGGTCGCAGTTTGTGGCCTTTAATTTGCCCTAAAAGGGACCGCAACGGCAGAACCGCGCCGAGCGCGCCCTGGTGGCGAATATAGCAAGCGCGGTCGCAAGTGTGCTCGCCGCGCAGTCGCCCGGGTTGCAAGGAGGCGGACAAGCTGATCCTTAACAATTATGGTGTCAACAAACCCAAAATCTGATCATGAAGTCAACGATTGTTGACGTCGTGCTCAGGCAGTAGACCGCAAAAATGGGCCCTGAGCATGGTGTCAACGATCATGGTGTCAACAAACAGAAAAATATTTTCCTTATGAGTAAAATTAGAAAATTTAGTGTATACAGGAGAGGTTTGGGTCACGTATAGTTAGATTAGGT